AACCAATCTTTGGACAATGAAAGGGGAAATAAATTGAGAATCTGAAATAAAAAATTTGCGCGTATGTGTAAACATATATATATACTCTCTCTAAAAAAAAAGAATCAAGGTTTAAAAAGTTTATTATTATTATTATTATTATTACTTTTATATTAGTATTATAGTAGTTACAATCGTAATTATTATTATCATTAACTTTGTGCTTAATTTTATTATTATTATTTCCATTTGGTCAACTACTAATTTTCAACTTTTTTATAAACAGAGATTCTGGAATGGGGTCAACCAACCTAAAAAAAGACGAAGACGTGTCCACTTAATGAAATAGCGGGGGATAATGAATAACAATAAAAGAATCGAAGAAAAACATATAAAAAATCAACCTTTATTTTTGTAGTGGATAATAATAAAAAAATGTATAAAAATAATTGTTCAACTGTGTTCTAGAGATCAGGCGTGAGGGTAAAGAAAATACGTGGACTCGTCGAGCACTACATCCTACATTCCATAATATTTAATATCTTAAGAGATTCACTTATGTTTCCAATATTTATTTTTAAAGAAGGAAAAAATGAAAAGTCTTTAGCTATTTGCATAACGTTTGGAGGAGTGATTATAATGATTAAAAAAAAATAGAACTTATCCAGTGCATTTTTATTTTGTTAATTTAGGAAACATCTATTGACAGATGCCTTTATAGGTATTGTATTATTATTAAAATTAATTTATTTGATTTAACTATTCTTTTTCTTATCGATTTTATTTCAATAAGGTATCGTAGATTCCTGCGGATTTCAAATGCATTTTAGTTTCTCATACAGACTCAGATATATGGATTCAGATCGATTATAAATGCGTAAGGCCTTCGTTCATGCTTTACTGACGAAATCTTTTCATTACAGGGATTTGACTACTATTACATTATGCAATCGCCAAGGAAAGGTATTATCTCCTGAGGAGTTTTTACGACGGCGTGTGGGGGTTTTCGCGCGTGATGGAAATGTGGAGGCAGCGGATTTGACAATACGCGAATACCTATCCTCACAACTTTTTCTCTCCTATGTGCAAGATTTACACAAGATGGAGAAGAAATCATTCGTAGGGTTTTGGGATGCACTTTCCTCGACTCTTTTTGCATGTGAACGCGAAAAGAAAGAAAGATTAGGATTAGATCTCGTTTCGGTGGTTCGTTTGCACGTACCTGATGAATACTGGAAGAAAGAAGAAAATGTTTTAGCGCTTATCTTACGATTACACTGTACAATTGGGGAGTTCAACGAAGCTATGCATCTTTTTTCGTACCTTTTGCAGGAGGGCATGCTAAAGCGCCGTACGGCCTCTGTTTTTTTGCAATACTGTTGCCGTCAAGCGAGGTTAGATACAGAAAAACAGCGAAGTTTGGTGTTTTCCATCTACCAGACGTGCGTGAAGAAGCAGATTGAGCTTTCTTGTGAGGATTACGTTGTTTTGGGGCGATTTTGCGTTTCCACTGGTGAGCCTTTATTCACATTACATCGTATTCTTTCCACGATGCAGGAATCCATTCCAGAGGTATCTGAAACGATGGTAAAGGAGGTGTTAGAGCCTTGGTGCACGCAGAACGGCAACTGCTGCGAGTTACGCAAGGTTCATATTCATTTTCGCGAGCTCAAGGAGGGGATTCCGACAGCGGTATCTTGTTCTTCTTGCAAGAGGGTTTTACGCGGGTATCCTTTTCCGTCTGGTGATCGCGCTGCGTTGCTGAAGGAACTGTGTGAAAAAGTAATCCCGCAGCGCTGTCGTCAATCTCGCGCGCGTGTGGGGTTCGAAACATGGCGCCGCTATCTTTCCCAACGCGCCTTCGCCAACGATCCGATTGATCTTTTTATCGACGGCGCAAATTTGGGTTATTATGGCCTCTCCAGCTGGTATCATTTGGCAAAAAGACAGGTTTTAAGACAACGAGGAGTTGCGGAAAGCGAAATCACCGCGCGCGATCTTGATTTTGAGCACCATTGCAAGACCGATGGAGCCGTTGACGTTCCTGTGAGCTTTGAGCTCATTCATCAGGCCTTGCAAATCGCGTTGAGGGTGTATTCTTTCCGTCGTCCTCTCGTAATTTTGCAGGAGCGACATTGCGAGGCGAACGCGCCTTTGACAGCCGTGGAGCGGCGTTGGCTAGAGGAATGGCGGCAAAACGGATGGCTTTATTGCACGCCTTCCGGAATAAATGATGATCTCTGCTGGCTATACGGCGCGATCGAACAAACAACCCCGACGGATGAACCATATTTGGCCAATTACGCGCACGAAGGTGAGGGTAAACCTAAGGCACTTATAGGAGGACCTAGGGAATCTGTATATGTGCTCACGAATGACCTCATGCGCGATCACCACTTCTCGCTGCTTAGTCCGCGATATTTCACGCGCTGGCGGGCGCACCATAGGATTACTTTTAGCTGCGTGAGGGTTAATAATAAAAATAGCGATAATAATAATGAAAAGCATACTGAGTTACGCTGGGAATGGCCGCCACCTTTCACGCGATGCATTCAGTTTGACAGCGAAGCAAAAGCTTGGCACCTTCCTTACACTCTTGATGATAAGGCGAAGAAGGAGGAGATAACGAAAAGCAAAAGCGAAGAAAATAATTCCACACACAACTCTGGTGATTCTTTAAGTTCAGAAGAGCTACAGTATTGGGTTTGCATTCAATTAAAATGAGAAAATGGTTGTTTGTGAAACTACCTCCCTAATATATATATATATATATGATCCTAGAGATTTCATAGTTATCTGAAGAGAGTATTATGACCTATTGAAAAAACGTGACTCATGTTCCCCCCCCCCCCCTCCTCCCCCCATTATCCAACTCCTTGTGTCTTTGCAACTTCTTTTCTACCTTTTTCTTCACTGTCATTTCTTTC